ACGAAGCTGAACATGTTTGACCAAGGAGTTTGGCTCAGTAGAAACAAGAAAGTAGTAAGCCCCTAGTAGCTTCTTGTTCCTAGTAGGAAGGCCAGGAGCCCCTAATAGCTTCTTGCTCCTATATAAAATAGTACGGCCAGGAGCCTCTAGTAGCGTCCTTGCTCCTAGATGTTCCATTCTTCAGGTTTCAGCACAACAAAGTCTACAGATTGGTTTGGTCACAGAGACTTTGGTTTTGGAGTGCAAAGCTTCATTATTATAAGTTATAAGATTTGATGATAAGCATATGTGGTTGCAAGCGCATGTGTGGAGGCGCTTTAGCTTGCTGAACATGTAAAAGGCACTGGCAGTAGTGACAAAGAGATTCGGTGGTTGGGGATGTTTGTGGCGTAGGTTCAGGACTGACTGGTGATGAGACCACCCTCGCGGTGCTTTGACTCGAACTGCTGTGTGCAGCAATCGCGTGAGGCCGTTTTGAGCAACCTGAGGAAGTACAGCTTGGCCCTTGGCAAGTTGATGGCACAAAGGGTTGACATTGGTTTGCTGATGGCCAGTTGATCCCCAGATGGTCATTTTTCCAGAACGGCCTGGTCTCTCTCTCTCTCTCTCATACATGGATCTCAAAATTAGGAACCCCACCTGTCAGCCAGCTCACGCAAGGCGCTGAACATCGTTTGAAGAAGGCAGCTCTGCAACTTCTGGCACGGCAGCAGAATGACGATGTCTTTGATCAGCGGCTTGGATATACAGTATGAATCCCCGCGCTTCTGACTGTCGACGACCGGGTCTCCAGTGGCCACGCCCGTCTCAAACTGCTGAGCTTCTTCCCATCCGCACTTGGCTTTTACCTTCCGCCCCAGGCATTCCAGTTCAGCAAAAGGTACATAATGCTTATTTTGTACCCTTCAAAGAAGGCATTACAACATTTGCTATTGAGCCAGAGCATTACAGTATATGGAGACTGTAAACATGGAACTTCCATGAAAGAGAGCGACAACGGTGACTCTACTTTGTTGACTATGCGAAAAGCTCCAAAAGATCCAGTTGCTTCCATCAGAAGGTACATTTAAGTCCCCATACTCAATCCTGCAGGAATCCGACTAGTGCGACTGTGTTTTCAAGAGGGAGCCAGAGGCTGGTTACGTACGAAGAGCTAGACTTGTAGGCAGATTTGCTTCGCCGGTGACTGTAAGAACAAGCTCCAAGGCTGAAGAAGCAGTTCAACGAGCTGGACGAAAATGGAGACGGCATCATCACCTTTGCTGAGCTCAAGCAGGGCATGTCTGGGGCCTGGCGGGAGAGAAACGAGGGCTGGGTGCTTAGGACGAAAGACTTGATTGTATACAGTTATCCAGAAAGTGACACAGAAGGAATAGTCGTTTAAACCTTTGTCTGCTCAGCAGGACATGGTTAGTGGAGCTAGTGGTTCTTTCACACAACAGGGGCAGGTTTTGCTTTTGGTTCACTGGAGTAATCAGTGCAGTATGGCCGGTAAGCACGGTGACAGGCAATTGGCGCTGATCTCAGTCTCAGTAGGTGTTGGGCTTAAGCTTCTTTTCACCTTAGATGAGACCTGCATTGACCCGAACCTTATGCTAGTGAGAGGAGATGATGCAACAAGGCCTCCAGCTTTCTCGAAGTGAATCCCTCAGTTTGGAAACATACGCATACGTATGGCTGCACTGTGGTTGGCCTCCCCAACCGCCATGTTTCAATTTCACTACTCTACTGGGAGACCGCCGATGTTTTTCTTGCCAGGAAAAAGGCGGGTCTTGCCGGTGGCCTGAGCTCCAAGGACGATGACGGCGTTCGGTGCTCTTTGACGTGACATCCCCAAGCGACCGAGCCGTCTTCGGCAAGATCACTGAATCGACCGTCTCACGACTAACGCAAAAAGGGACCTCCATTTGACCCCCCACCAAAAAGCGATGTAACTGTAAAGAACCGTTGCATCCCTGGAGGATCTCCACAATTTGGCGCTGGCCTTGGATGCGGATGGCAGCGGTGAAATCGACTACACCGAGTTCTTGGCCGCTGCCATGGAGCGCAAGAGCTTGGTGCCGCCACAGAGGGTTCGGGTTCGATGGAACTCGGTTGGGATGAAGTGACTGGTTTGGCATATGACTCATTGACTGGTGGAGCAGGGAGGTCGTGGTAGAGGTTTCGCTGGCCTTGTGTCGGGGTGGGTTGAGCCAAATGACCGAGTCTTGACTCTTCAGATGGGGCTTTGGAGCGAAAGGGAGATGCAACGCAGGTGCAAGAGAGCTCGGTGTGGGCAGCTTTCAAGGTCTTTGACAAGAATGGCAGCTTGGTGCAGATTGTTTCAGCATGTTGCGTGGATGTGTTATGACGATTTATGACGAAGAGATCGATAAATCCATATAGACAACGTTCTATGGTGTAGTGCTAGGTGCTCTTGGGCAAAATCAGAATTAAACAATGAAGAAACAGTTGCATTCTGGCTGCTAGTGCAAAAGTGCAAGATGCATCCATCTAAGCCGTCTTTTTGTCAATAGTCCAACGTGGGATGCTTGAAGTGATCCCATGAACCAAAAGTGAAGCTTCTACAAGACCTATGTTGGCAAAGCTCTTGAGCCTAGTGAAGATGCCTGCGAGATCACCAGTATATGCTGGGAATGCTTGAGCATTTGTGCATGGGAATTCTGGCTTCGGCGGTCGTCTTTGCTCCGCTTTGTCTCAGACGACGGCCGCATCTCCAAGAAGGAGCTTGAAGAAGTCCTGTCCTCCCAAGAGGCGAACACGAACGGATGGGATGAGGTCCAGATCCAAGTGGATCCTGGGAACGCAAAGACACAAGCAGTCATAAGGAGGAAGCAAGGAAGCAAGGCCAAGTGCTGCGATGTGCTTTTGTAGAAGAGATATTTTCAGATCCCAAAGAGTGACATGCTTGACGTAATGACCCCATGTTGGGTCTTTTACGGTCCACCACAGCAACCGCGACTCTGCAGGTGAGCAATGCCATTTCCAAGGCCTGGTCATGTGTCACGCCTCCAAGGAAGTACCTAGTTTTCACCCGTTTGCCTTGTAAGCTTTGCCATTTTGTCGTAGATTGACAACTTGTCGTGGGAAGAAATCGGGACTGCCAGCAACTTGGTGAACCAGACCTGTACAGGCACAAGTTGACCGGATTGTGAGGGAGGTGGACACCAACGGTGATGGCGAGGGGCTGAAGGGGCGGCTGCAATTGCTTGAGGATAACCTGGTGTGTGAGTGCGTGTTGCACTTGGCAACTCAAGCATTGCGTGACCTGAGCCCAGCTGATCGTTCTTAGGCTTTATTGATTTCAACGAGCTTGCGCCTCAGTCTGTGACCATTGGCACAGTCTGTTGTGCTTGTTGTGTGAGCTTTGCTTGCAGTCGGTGGGCATGAATCTCAATATCGGGAGCATTTCAATGCACATTTGACAGAATGTCGCCCTTTTGGTGCACACCTTGCGTGCAGCGCAAATGATTTTTACATTTGCAGTACTGTTGTAAGTGGGACATGGAATTCCTCTCAAGATTTGTTCCCGGTATATAAATGACACGCGTTTCCCTCAGTGACACGTGCTGTACGACTTGCCAACTTCCTGCGACCTCAGGTTTATGGCCATGATTCGGTCATAGGTGGGTGGAGAGTGTATGATTCCAGTAAGCTTCAAAGACTATGTCATGTCATGTCCAAATGAAGAGGATATCAAACGTGTGGTTGCCAAATCATTTCTCCTTGAGAATATTTGAATATATATTTATTTTTTTGTCCTCTTCAGAAGCTTTGAACAGTCCTACTTGGCGCTTTCACCAGGTGCACGACTTTTGCTACAGGTCCCTCCAGCAATACCTGCGTTAGGACCATGTGTGTGTGCGCGCACGGGAAGGGAGCAAACCTGAGTTGGATGGAGGATTCTAGTTGAGTCCTGCGAGCCCTACTAGATTCTGCTAGATGCATTTTTGGGAGCCGCAAAGGCACCCACCTTGGTTTGCAGTCGTTGCTCTCAGCTCTGAAGTTTGGTCTTTTGCAAGCTGTCAGTAATGTTCAAATACATCTTCAGCTTGTTTGGAGGGTTGCGTAGCATCTCAAGCCTCGGAACATTCTGTACAACTAGTGCAACTATTCATAGATGCAAGACCTTTCACCGGATGCTCTAGGCCTCTATTGCTTTGTAACTTTTGAACTTGTGAAGGCACCTGTGCGCGGGATAGTCAGTAGGGATTGACAAGAAGCGCTCCGCAGCCACTTCGGCAACCAGTCCTTGCAACGTTTCCAATGCAATTTTGGTCCTCTTTGTCTGCTCTTGCTGTGCAGGACCGCAATGTCAACGTCCTTGATCATGTGAAGCGTGGAAGGAAGGAGTAGCAGCTCGTCCGCGCTGCACACAAATGGATCAGAAGCTTCAGATTTGCCCGGAAATCCAACAATCTTGTTTGCTCACAGAAGGTGGAGTGAGCAAGAGGGCCGAGCAATTCCAAGTTTGGGTATTGGGTTTTTGTCCAGGACACAGAATACAGTCCTCCTCTTTGCAAGTCTTAGAACGTTATGCGACTTGACAATCTCTCAAGTGTTTTATGTGTTGACAGGCCATGAACCTTGGAAGCTGCGGCTCAAGATACGGCAGCAATACGTCACATCACAAGATCCAAAACAGCATTTTGCATGTGATTATGATTATGCACATGACCGACATGACCTGCTTTGAAGCAGAGTGCTTCAGAGAAAGCTTGGTCGAGCCCTTCCAGCGGGTCATACGGAGCACACATTCATTTACTCCTTCTATAATTTGTAAACTTAATCAATGACTGGCAAACTGATGAGCTGACAAAAGCACTTCTTTCTGTACACCTTTTCTGGGTCTGCACAGGGCAATCTAATCCATTTTTCGGCGACTCCAAACCTTGAGGTCCCCAGAGATCGACCACGTTTCTTCACCCCTTCTCCCGTGGACTACTCGGAGCAAGGACGCTACTAGGGGCTCCTGGCATCGATGCCGCCCTGTGACCATCATGTCGCCCTATCGGTGGCGACTGCTGGCGCTTCTTGGGACTGCCGACGGCCGTGTCACTGTGCCCCTGCAGCGGCAGCAGCGGTGGTTGGAGGCGGATCGCTGGGGGCGGCGGCAAAGTACCACAGAGCAGCTGAGCGGACTGAAATTCAGTGGTTGAAGTTAGGCTTGGATTGACCACTTCACTTCAAGGTGCTGTGCACGTTTTAGCAGATTTTAGTGCCCAAGGTATTTCGGCCTCCTCACTCTTGGTGCCCATGGCGCCGAGGGTGCAGAGAGCCGGCCCTTTCGGGTCAGCTTCGACACTGGCAGTGCCAATGTAGTGCTGCCTTGCTTTCAAGAAGACCAACTCGCACAAAGGCCACTGGGACTTATATTGGTGGATTTGCAGGCATTCACAATCGTAGTGCCCCCAAGCTTCGGAAGGCCTTCCCATCCACTGCCCTGTTGTCTACTCGTGCATTGCCAAGAGTCCAGTGCACGCCACACAACCACGACCGCCACGAGGCACAGCACCTGTGATGCCCACACGGTGACCTTGGTCTTCGGCACCGGCGAGGTGAACGGCTCCTATGCCGAGGGCGCCGTGTGCGTCGGGCAGCTGTGCGTGGATCTGCGGATAGTGCTGGGGCACACCTTTAGCGAGCATCCCTTCAAGGAGGTCGGGCGGGAAAGCGGTGTCAGTGGATGAAGATCGGAGAAAGCAACGAATGTTGGGACCCACATCTTTGTGTGAGGTGACCTTTCTTTTTCCTGTGGCAGTCCTCCTTCCTCCCTCCTCCTCCTCCTTCCTCCTCCTGATTCACTCAATCAATACAACTCTCACACAACTCAACTCACTCAACTCACTCAACACACACAACTCACCTACTGACCTCCTCCGTGGCTCTTAGAGACTGTGCTGTGTGCCATGCGGCTTTGCGCGGCTTTGGTGGAAACTGCCTTTGCGTGAGTCCGTGCCGTTTGGGGGGAAGGGAAACGTGCTGTGGTGTCGCGTTTATATCTCGTTTGTGACACACGGCGCGGTGGGAGTACATCCGTGAAGTCGCTGTGCCACGCGGTTTTACACCATTGTGATCATAATCACTTGTTCATCATCAACATCATGACCGTCGTCACCATCACCACCACCACCACCATCATCATCATCATCATCATCGTCATCGTCATCGTTTCCTTCTGCGAGTTCCTCCTGTGCCTTCGGGCCACCCTGTTGTATCGTTTTGTTTTTAGACTTATTCATTACCCTTGCTTTCAACTGCCACTTTTGCTCTGCGAAAAGCTTTGACGTGTGGGGTTATCCGGTCCTATACTTTCTTCAAATGGAACATCACTTTCTGACTGGGCCTTCGACTTTGGCAGTCTCCCAAAATCAACAAAGGAAGCGAGTTTCCTCGCGTTGGTTTGTCACTTGGAGCGTTTGTCAGGCACCCTTTGAGGGAGTGCTAGGTTTGGCACTCCCCGTCCTGGCGGAGGGCAGCAACTTCTCCTTCATTGATGAGTTGGTACCTGGACACATCGAATTTGCTTTTGCTCTTCCTAGATTACTACTTTTGAGCCAGACCTTTTGGTGAGTTTCTTTGGGGGGAAGGGGGTGTTGCTGGTGGCTATGAGGTGAAACACCGGCAATTGGAGTCCAATGTCTTCGCTATCTATTTCTCCAAGGTGGGATTGTTGTTGTTTGATTCACCTGCAAGGCATGAGTTTGCTTCCACTTCTTGAGTTTGGAGGAGGATGACTCCTTCCAAATTTGTTGCGTGTGATCTCGTCCAATCTTTGGCACCTCCGGTATAAAGTGAACGGCCAGGAAGGCCATGCAGGGGGCGAGCTCTCGCTTGGCGGTGTGGATGCAGAACGGATGCAACATGAGCTGATTTGGGCGCCTGGGCAGATTTCTTACTATTCAGCTATTGCCTAATGCCTATTGCCATTTAGTTCAGGAAAGGATCATGTTTGCAGAATCCAGGAGACAGGGGTGACTTGGCAGTTTGCACAAGGGTGGAATTGGAATTTGGTTGGCATCTTAAAAAAAACACCACTTTTCTCAACTGCCAACATTGTTGAAGTTGAATGTGTGAGTCTTCCGTATGCCCGCACAGCACCCACACGGCACCTGCAGCAGGTGCCTGTCTCCAAACCTGGCTTTTGGCAGGCCATCAAAGTGCATGGTTTGGGAGGATGTTTGCAGTAGTTCCAACCTTTTATATGCGCGAAGAAGACAGAAAAAAGCCTTCTTGGTCCACAATCTGCAATGCAGATTGGTTGCATGTCATCAGGTGGCGGTGCGGGATCTCACCCTGGACGGCGAAGACATGAATCTTTGCGGGCCTCAAGGTGTCCTCGGTTCTGTGGGTGGGTAAGAGCTCTTTAAGTCTTTTCGCTGGGTGCACTTGCATTTCACAGGTGTAGCTTCAGCTCAGACTGCCCAATAGCAATATCGCACCGCCAACTTACTCCTGCTCCTACTCCTACAACTGCCACGCCACGAGCACTACAACAACTGACTACTGACTACTTGGGGGGTTGGTGGTGGTGGTGGTCGTAGTAGTAGCAGTAGCAGTAGCAGTAGCAGTAGCAGTAGCAGTAGGAGTAGGAGTAGGAGTAGGAGTAGTAAAAGTAGTAGTAGTAACGTAGTAGTAGTAGTAGTAGTAGTAGTAGTAGTAGTAGTAGTAGTAGT